GTCACTGGAGGCGGAGATGAATTTTGACTGGGGAGGCTGGGCAGGCTTCGTAGAGGAGATGGGACTTGGGCCAAGCTATTTATTCATTTAAAAGCCCTTTAACATGGGGATATATGTATATGTATAGCTGATTCACTTTGTCGTAAAGCAGCAACTAACACACCATTGTAAAACAATTCTACTCCAATAAAGATGTTAAAAAAAAGCCCTTTAACAAGCACCAGCTCTGTGCCGGGCACTGTTCTGGAAGCTGGGATACAGCAGTGAAAGAAGTTTCTTCTTTCATGTGGCTCATATTCAGCCTGGGAAAGAAAACCAATAAACAATAGGCAAGTCAATATACAGGATGTCATGCGGTGATATGTACTACGGAGAATAACCTAGCAGCGTAGAGTAACAGAGCGCAGGCGTGGGGGCCTTGCTATTTTTACACAGGGTGGTCAGGGAAGGCCTCTCGAATAAGGCGACATTTGAGCAGAGACCTGAAGGAAGAGAGGCACAGCCATGTGGCCATCTGGGGGAAGAAAGTTCTAGTGAGACAGGACAGCGAGAGGTCTTGGAGGTCAGACTGTCTCAGAGTGTTTGAGGAGCAACAAAGTGGCCTGTATGGCCGAAGCCCAACGAGCAAGGTGAACAGCATACCAAAAACAAGTGAGGTTGGGGATCAGCGGCTGCTCAGGGCCTTTGAGCCATTCTGGAGGGATCTAAGCAGAGAAGTGACACATTTCTGACTTCAGTCTTAACAGTTTCATCCTGGTTGCTATGCTGAGAGTGCGCTGGGGGTACAAAGGCTGAAGGGAGCTGTCAATTTAGGAGATGAGGTGAGAGGCGACCACAGGCTGGCCCAGGGTTGTAGCAGTGGAGGTGGGTTAAGTGCTCGATTTTGGATATATTTTGAAGATGAACTTTGATGCAACAAAATTTGACGTAGGGAGGAAGGCCTGGCAGGCCCCAGACAGAAGTACAGCAAGAACACAGAGCCTGGGGAAGATGGGATTGGGGGAGATGGGTCCGGAGGGGATGTGGGAGAGCCCCTTTGGGTGAGGGGTGTGGACTCCACTCTGTAGGCAACGTGGCCTGGGGAAGGGGGCACTGGGAGCCATCCAGCCGAGGGGCCGCTGTAGATGGTGACACTGCAGCTCTCCAAGGTCCCAAGGCCTGCAGAAAGGAGAAGGACCCTCCCTGCTCCCCTCCTGCAGGCTGTGCTGCGGATGGCCCAGACCACTGCCTCTATGTGGCCTTTCTTCGGGCCACGAGCAGGTAGGTCATTCACTCAAGAGTCCTCAGCTCAGGACCTTTGCCACCCTTTGAAATCAAGCCAGTGGTCTTCACTGGCCCCAGAGAAGGGCTTTCCTCTTTCAGAAGTGGAGCAAGCAAGGTTTGTCCTGAGACAGCTGGTTTCACTTGGGTCAGGAGGTTCAAGAAAGATCATCTATGCTTAGGAGTGAAGAGAGCACTTGGTCAGGGAGGGTGGGAAGGTTTTGTCAGCTAGGACTGTCCATCCACAGAGGCCGAGTGCTTTCCACTTTCTCAGACATTCTCAAGGCATTCCCAGCCTAATTCCCCATTCACCCCCCTCCCCGCCCCACCCCCTGCAGACAGGCTCTGCTCAGGGGCCCTTTCTCTACTCAAACCTCCTCAACTACCACTGAGAAGGCAAAGGGGCAAAAGGGAAACTGAGGCATGAAGCAGGAGGCACACATAGGGGAGCACACACTCCGGATCCCAGCCTCCTCAAGCACACTCTGTTCCTCCTGGGGGAAACTGTCACACCCTGCCTCCTGCCAGTTAGGGTGCCTGTTCACATGCTCCTCTCCCCGACTCCTTGAGAACGGCGACCAGACTCCGCTCATATCAGTGATCCCACAATCTCAACCCAGGGCAGTTAGGGGGGTCACTGAATGAATGAAGGGTGGTGGGATTTCCTGATGGGTATGTGGGCAGGATAGGCTTGGAAGACAGGAGTAGAAGCATGTAAGGAAGTTCCAAAAAAAAAAAAAAAAGTGAGGGGCTTCCCTGGCGGTCCAGTGGTTAAGACGCCGTGCCCTGGGCTTCCCTGGCGGCGCAGTGGTTAAGAATCCGCCAGCCAATGCAGGACACACGGGTTCAAGCCCTGGTCCGGGAAGATCCCACATGCCGCGGAGTAATTAAGCCCGTGCGCCACAACTACCGAGCCTGTGTGCCACAACTACTGAAGCCCGCACACCCTGGAGCCCATGCTCCGCAACAAGAGAAGCCACTGCAATGAGAGGCCCGTGCACCACAACAAAGAGTAGCCCCCAGCTCTCCGCAACTAGAGAAAGCCCGTGCACAGCAACGAAGACCCAACGCAGCCAAAAATAAATAGTAAATACATTTATAAAAGAAAAAAAAAGACTCCGTGCCTCCACTGCAGGGGGCACCGGTTAGATCCCTGGTCAAGTAACTAAGATGCCGCATGGTGCGGCCAAAAAAAATAAAAAAGAAGTTGACAAGCCTCCCCAATTAAAGCTATCTGGGTGCCTATTTAAAAAAAAAAAAAAAAAGGAAGCTTCAGAAGGAGCCATGGCCCAGCGCCATGTATCCTCCCTCCCACCCATCCCCCATGCTATAGAATGAGCAATTGCTAACATTTCCTGAGCACTTACTACAAGCCAGGCCCTCTGTAGCATTTCATTTGATCCTCACAGGAGCCCTGTGAGATAGGCACTATCACCAGGCCCGTTTACAGATGCAAACAACTGAGGCACAGAGAGGCTGAGTTATTAGTCCAAGGTCACGTGGCTACTAAGGAACAAAAGCCAGGATTCTAAAGCAGATTGTCAGTCCCCACGTGCTCTGTGCTTAACTACTACACGCTGCCTCCCAGGCCCCGCAGAGTCCCAAATGTGTGTGTCTACCTCAGGTTAGCCCAAATCAACCCTCCATTGTGCCCCGTTATCCCCATCCCAAGACAATGGTGGTTATGTTTGAGGAAAACCCTTAATAACACTGTCAAACACCAGTGAGTATTGTTATTAATGATAACAACAACGACTCCTCTCCCAGCCATTGCTTCCTATCTCCATCGTCCACTTTCCAGCCTCCAACAGAATCCTCTACTTGTGGTCCTCTCAGCCACACATCTAGGATGGAGTGTGCCCATGTGCTCTGCCCCTCCCATCATGTCCTGCCCCATCCTGTCCCCCTCCCTCTCCATCCTTCCTGGAGGCACCCTCACAGCATTGACACCTGCCCATTTCCCTCAGACCGTTTCCTGCTAACACCCCCTGTCCCTCCCAGCAGCCAGCGGCTTCTCCCCCAAGGGACTGGACTGATTGTTTCCCAGACCCTGGAAGGGCAGGATCTGGGATTCTGATTCCAGGCACGCCCTTCTGCTCTGCAAATTTGGGGAGTTGATTCCAAGGCAACCTTGAAATCCAGCCACAGGAAAGCCCACGGAATACTGAATTCCAAAGAAGCTCTCTGAGAATTCCAAGTTTGAGGACTTGGAAACTCCCACACTCCAAGTTCTAGGACTAGCCAAACCCTCAGGATCCTGAGGTGGCGACCTTGGGAATTTTGATCTCAGGACTTCTGATTCCAGTCTCTTGTGGAAACTTAGTTTTCACTTCCTCAGGCCATTTGTGTGATTTCAATGTTACCAATTTTGAAAGCTGGAAGTAGATTTAAAAATCCCTCCCCAAATACAGCAACAAAATTTCCATAAATTTTGTAAGGAGAAATATTCTTTTAAATCCTAAATATGCAGATATTTGAATATTTGTAAATCTCATTATTTTAATGCAGAGCAGTGGTGACTTAGTTGGAGCATCATTGAGAATGTGACCACTGTTTGGGCTATTAGAGATGCGAATGCCCCAAAAGGCACACGTGCAAGATTCCCCCCCACCCTATGTTTTTCCAGTTCCCCCCCACCCCGGGCCCTTATATCTCTTTGTCTTAGAGTGAGTGTGAGCACAGTCCTAGGGGTGAAGCTTCTGGGATATCTGGGGTGGTCAGGGGAGGAGGGGTGAATTGTACAATGTCTTCTCTGAAACTCAGGAAATTCCCCGCTTAGGTCCTCCCCCGAGCCTGGCCTGGGGCCAGGGCTCCCATAGTTCCCAGGCCCAACATCACCGTGCTTCAACTGGGGCCTGAGGTCCTGCCCCCTGGCCCTGCTGGTAATGGGAAGGGGATAGAGACCCTAGGAAGCCTTCCTCTTGTGGCTCCTTCCCTGCCTCTTAGTGTTTCTGTGGCAGAACAGGGCTGGTCGCCACCCTTGCTTGGCCCAGGAAGGAGTAGAAGTAGGTGGAAGGGAAGAATGAGGACTGGGGTGGGGGTGGAGGGTGGTCAGAAAGGAAAAAGTCACTGGAGGTCAGTGAACCAGCGAGAAGTCAAGCTGAGTGATTACGGTCGGATTTCACAGCCTGAGGCTTATGACAGGGGCCAGGATTGGTGGGGGAGGGGACTGAAGGAAAGGGACAGACCGACCTACAGAGTTGGGACTCTCTCTTGGGACAGAAGAGCTTACATTGAATGGTAGGGAGTTGAGCAATGGGGAGAGGGACAGGGACACATGGAAGGAGTTAACGGTTTCACATGAGACTTAGAAGGTCTGAGACATTCCTTCACCAGCACCTGCCCTCTGGAGGAGCTTGCGGGGGTGGCGGGAGCCCGGGCTCCTGCACCTGCTCTCTTTTCCAGCTCCCTTGTCTCCAGCCCCTCATCTGGCTCTTTTCTCCAGATGTCCTCTCAACGCCCCCTTTCTCTGGCTACCCTGGCCTGTTCCCCACCCCACCCCCGCCGCAAACTGCTTTCCCCAGCCCAACCCAATTTTCCACCCCCAACTTCTCTTCTTCAGTCCCCCCAGATCAGTGGCTTCTCCAGCCTGCCTCTCCGATCGCTCTTCTCTGGCCCTGGATCCCCTAGCCCTAGCCCCGTCAGAACCCCTAAACCCTCCCCCGGCACCCCTCTTCAGTCCCCCTTTCCAGCGCGACCGCTTTCCCGAGCCCCGCATCCCGCCGGAGCCCGGCACGAACCCGATTCGGAAGAGCAGCCGCTTGCTACGCGCCATGAACAGGCTACGGAGGGTCCGCCGCGCTCGGCAGCTGCTGGGGCTCGCGAGCAGGACAAGGACCAGGAGCAGCAGCCCGCAGCTGGCGACCCACAGCCACGACGAAGGCCAGCCTTGCCAGGCCATGCTGGGGGCAGGCGCCCGAGGCCGCCCAGGGGGCGGGGCGGGGCGTTGCTACGCGACGGCTCGGCCCAGGCCCCCACTTGGAGAACCTGAGGGGTTGGGCCACGCCCCCTGCACGCGCAAGCTGGGGGACTGGGGGCGTTCTGGCCCCGCCCCTTCATTGGCTCGCGTTCGCACCCGCCCACTCGCCGTCCCTGGCCTGGTGCACTCCTGGAATGTCACCCGGCTGAAGGTGGCCTGGCCCCGCCCCCGGCTGGCCGGTCGGGAGGCGTGGCCGGAGCCGGCATCTGATCTGCGCTAATCCCGGTATAAAATCGCTGGAGTCCGGGGCTCGGCCCCACACCCTCCCACCTTCCCCCAAAAGGGAACTCTGAGAGAGGCCCTGGAATGGGCCTCTTGGCGGGAAACCGTAGCCTCATAAACTTTTTCAGCTGGAAGGAACCTGGGAGATCACATGGGTCAGCTGCCATTCATTCATTTATTCATTCACTAAATTACTTTTCTGTGTTCTCCTTTGTGCCAGGCACTGTGCCAGCCTCTGAGAATGCAAGGATCAAAGACACACAGTCTCTTCATTCCTGGAGCCTACAATCTAGAATCCAGCAGAGAAACAAACCAAATAAGCAAACAAATATAATTATATATGTATTTATCTATACTTACATATACGTGTATATGTACACATACATTGCTACCCGTGTGTGATTACAAATTGTGGTGCTATAAAGAAATCGAACAGAGGGGGCAACGATATGGAGGACAGAGAGGGCCAGTTTAGATGGGAGGGCCTCCCTGAGCTGGCGACATGTCAGCCATGCCCTGAAGGATAAGAAGAGGCCACAGAGGCTGAAGGAGTGATTTGACCAAGATTATACAGCAATGGTTGGCAGAGGCAGGACTAGGACCCAAGGTATCCCAAGACCAGTGGGGTTTCCACATCATTAACCACCCCCCCTCCACACCATGCTGCCTTCCCAATGAGTTCTAGAAGTTGTTAAGGTCAGTGGGTTGGAAGGCATTGTAAAGACAGGTGAGGTGACCTCTACAAATTTGGGCAAACTGGAGCTAGGGCTGAGCTCCTTCTGGCTCCAGCTCTAGCCCTAGCCCAGCACAGGGAGGGAAAGAAATCTGCAAACAGTGAAGGTAGCCATGTCCCCAGCGGGGAGATAGTTGGGGAGGGAAGCAGGGGAGGCACTGCTCTTGTTTTCTTCTCTTGCTTTTTGGGCTTCGGCCTGTGCTCTGGCCTGAGAGAGGCTAGATAACCCAACCCCCAAACCACACTTTTTCTCTCTCCCTCTGATGTACTCTTATTAGATAGCTGAATCTAAAGACTGAGTCCCCCGTGTGGAGAGTATAGAGGTATAGGATCATTACACACAAGGAACTGGAGGCCTCATTCCTCCCCCCACCCCAAAAAAGCCAAGAGATGGGTTAAACTATCCCCAGACTGAATTGTAATCCCAACACCTAATCCTGGGTTTCATTCAGCAACCCCAGACATGAAGTTTCTTTTATGTGGATACACCTTGAAGGCCGGAGCTATAGCCTGCTCCCTCCCTGTCTCCTTACCCACAATTCAGCTTCTTCTCAGTGTCTGGCACATAAAAGGCTCTCAATAAACAAAAATCAGATAGAATTGAATTAAACCCCTGTGTATGCCGCAAAAGAGGCGGGAGTGAGAAGACTGACAAGCTAGTTTGTAGAAGGCCCTTCTGGGCCAATGGAGCTTGCATGTCTCTAAGTCCGTGTCTATACGTGCAAAGTGAAGAATTACAGAGCCTCATCAAAAGTCACTGTGAACACACTTTTCTGCAGGTAAGGCTGTGCCAGGCATTATATTGAGAAATTAAAACACAGTCCCTGTCATCTGAAACAGGAAATGCAGGCTCAAGCATGAGCCTGCAGAGGTACAGAGATGACTGAATCCTAAATCTAATCTCATGCTACACACACATTTACAAGATTATTGCTAATTATCCAAGATACATTTCAGGAAATGCAAGGAGCTGGACAAGGCCGGGGATAAGGAGTGAGAGTGGGTGTTTTGGGGGACTCATGCAGGGCTAGGAAGCCACCCTCCCCTCCCCCGGCCTGTTCCGGAAGACTTCCAGAACATATCTGCTCCAAATCTGCTTTGCTTTCACCTCCTCTCCCATGAGAATCTTCTGCCCCAGCCAGACTGATGCTTCATTATTCACCCCCTCCTACACTTTATACCTGATAATGCCTCATTGCTTGCAGACATTTGGCTTAGCGGGCACTGTCAAGGTTAAGGTTTGCCTCTGTTTGGCAGATCTTTTACTTTGCTGAGATCTCCTCTCATTATCCATAGTTGTTATTGGAAACCTCAGGCCCAGCTCCAATTCCTTTGCTTTCAGCCAATATGCTTTTTAGAGTAAATAATTTCTGTGCCCATCCACCCCTTTACCCCTTTTTCTCACTCTGTATAAGCAAACTCGAGTATCTCTTTGCCTAAAAAACTTCTCTTGGGGGCTTCCCTGGTGGCGCAGTGGTTGAGAGTCCGCCTGCTGATGCAGGGGACACGGGTTCGTGCCCCGGTCTGGGAAGATCCCACATGCCACAGGGCAGCTGGGCCCATGAGCCATAGCCGCTGAGCCTGCACGTCTGGAGCCTGTGCTCCGCAATGGGAGAGGCCACAGCAGTGAAAGGCCCACGTACCGCAAAACAACAACAAAAACAACAACAACTTCTCTTGGGGCTTCCCTCATGGCTCAGTAATTAAGAATCCGCCTGCCAATGCAGGGGACAAGGGTTTGAGCCCTGTTCCGGGAAAATCCCACATGCTGCGGAGTAGCTAGGCCCCTGTGCCACAACTACTGAGCCTGCGCTCTAAAGCCCGCGAGCCACAACTACTGTGCCCATGTGCCACAGCTACTGAAGCCCGGGCACCTAGAGCCCGTGCTCCACAAGAGAAGCCACCACAAGGAGAAGCCCGTGCACCACAACGACGAGGAGTCCGCACTCGTCACAACTAGAAAAAACCCACACGCAACAATGAAGACCCAATGCAGCCAAAAATAAAATAAATTAATTAAAACAAAACAAACTTCTCTTGACCTTGGGTCCCTATCTAGATTCTGTTCTGCCTTTATCTTAACACAAAGGAACACTAGTTTCCTGAAAGGCTGTCTCCGTGGGTGTGGTAGATTGCATTTCGGTTCTCAATTCTTCATCTCTCCCTGAAAACACACCCTTCACCATGTGACTATGCACCACCTCCACGGAGGTGCAATAGATTTCTCCCGCACCATTGATGTTGGGCTTGACCTTGTGACTTGCTTTGGCCAATGGAATGATACAAGCAGAGGTCTTAAATGTGCTATTATGGTTGAATTTGGTCTCTGTAGCCATGCCTTTCACCATGAGAACATCCCTCGGGTAGTTAGTTGCTGGTTTAAGGAGAGTGAAAGACACAAGGAAGTGACCTGACCCCACTCACAGCTTGGAAGCCAGCCCAGCCCAGCAAAGCCCAGCCTAGATGAGCTGAAACTTAGCCTGCCCACAGGGGCACGAATGAGAAGTACATGCTTGTTGTTGTATGCCTCTCAGTTTTGGATTTGCTTGTTATGCGGCATTATTGCAACAATAGCTAACACTGACAGTGGGAAGCAGAAAGATTAGTTATTAATGTGCTGAAAGCAAGGTGCTTAAATAACTGATTAGCTATTTGGAAAAGAGCAATTTAGACCCATGCTTCACAGAACACACCAAAATAAATTCCAGCTGAATTAAAGTGCTAAGGACATAAAATTCAAACACACCAAATTAGAAGAAAATTAAATGCATGTCCAATCTCTGGACAGTGGAAGACTTTCTAGGGCTAAAAGCAATAGAAGTGTTTTTCTAATTTTCTTTAATAGGCATTTGTTACTCTTAAACTCAGACAAAAAGCAACTGAAGACTTAACAAGGGAAAGAATTACTCTTCTGGTTCCTTAAAAAAAAAATTTAACCTTTTTGTTATGAGGTAATATGAACAAAAGAAAAAGCCAAAAAAAAAATTTTGTGGAAAATACTTGTCTCAAATTTGTCAAAAAGTTAATCTACTTAATACATAAAGACCTTAAATAAATGAGAAAACACAGACCCCCAATTAATAAAGGGATAAATGGCTAATATACACATGAAAAAATGTTAAACCTCAAAAGAATCAAGAAAATGCAAGATAAACAATGAGACAAGATTTTCATCTATCAAAATAGCAGAGATTAAAGACAGTAATACAATTCTGAAGGCTTCTAAGAATATGGGAAGATGAGTATTTATACATTACTTCTGGAGGTATCAATTGGTACAGTTTTCTAGAAAGCAATTACCAATATGCATCAAGGCTTTAAAAATATTCATATCCTTTGACTCAGTAATTCCTTTTTAGCCACCTGCCCAAAAGATCTGCCCCAAATATATCATTTGAAATGTACACAATGGTGAGACTGTAAACAGCCAACAGGTCTGGCAATAAGGGAAGAGTTAAGGTTCTGTGAACTTCTGTGCAGCTTTAAAATGGTGTTTATAGTTAAAACCCAATGTATTGCATGATCCTGGATTGCATCCTGGACCAGAAAAAGGACGCTGGGGGACAGCTGGCAAAATTTGAGTAAAGACTGTAAAGGGACTCTTAAAATTGTATCAATGTTAAGTTCCTGGGTTTGATACTAACACTGTAGTTAAAAGTAAGAAGTGTGGGGCTTCCCTGGTGGCACAGTGGTTGAGAATCTGCCTGCCAATGCAGGGGACACGGGTTTGAGCCCTGGTCCGGGAAGATCCCACATGCCGTGGAGCAACTGGGCCCATGAGCCACAACTACTGAGCCTGCGCGTCTGGAGCCTGTGCTCCGCAACAAGAGAGGCCGCGATAGTGAGAGGCCCGTGCGCCGCAATGAAGAGTGGCCCCCGCTTGCCACAGCTAGAGAAAGCCCTCACACAGAAACGAAGACCCAACACAGCCAAAAATAAATATACATTAAAAGTAAGAAGTGAACATTTGGAGCTTCCCTG